AAACTAAGTTTCCTTTAGAAATATGATACTTACTATATCAAGAACACTCCAGAGCCGGCCCCACACCCAGGAGTAGTCAGCCAACACAAACTCTCAATATTTCCAGGACAAGTTCCTATCAGAATGTTTTCTGAAGGTCATATTCCCAGCCAATAGTTCCTTAGACCAAGAATACTCTGTCTTGAGCTGCTGGGAAAGGATTGTGCAGTGTAGGACATACAATGAAAAGAGTGATAACACAGAGGAACCTCTGATGCTTTAAATGAGAATGTGCTCCATAAGCCAAGTTTTATTTTGTTTCAGCACTATTTTGTCACATTGGGTTTCATTTTTTGTTTGCTTTGATTTCCTTTTTTTTTTTTTTTTTGTTTCTTGTGTGTTTTCTTTTGGTACTGCCTGTAGAGTTACTGTAAAACTCACAGTGATTTACTACCCTCTCCTTGCCTTACTGTCTTCCTTTTTCTCCCTCATCTTTTCTTTCCATAAATAGGTCATTAGAGTCATAACATAGGGCTAGTGAGATGGCTCAGAAGTTAAGGAAATTGCTGCCAACTGATTTGAGGTAGATTCCCAGGACTTACATTGTGGAAGGATAAAACAAGTTCTGTGTACTGTAATTTGTTCTCTGACTTCCAAATGCACGTCATAATATGTACACACCTACCCATATACATCTGTAGACACATACATGCACATATAATAATATATAAATGTAATAAATTAAAACCAAAAGAATTTATGCCAAAACTTGCTAGAACACTAGAATTCCATGAGGAATCCTTGTGGCCAGCTGCCTTACAACAGGTCCAGGAGAACAGAATGATTCTTCTTCGTTTAGGTATTGGGCCCATCCTTGCCTCTGTCCCTCAGGCCACCTTCCTTCAAAATCTATTTTAACAATAGAAGTGATCCTTCTCCAGTGTCTAGCCTGGAAATTTTGCCTGATGTTCTTCTCTAGGCACCCTCCTTGACCTACCAGGGCTGTTCCAGATTCCACATTGTCTAGCATCCTTACTTGTATCACAATCAACCTCTAGGCTTCTCTAGAACTTGACCTGCCTGCCTTCAAATCCACAGGTTCTTTCCATGTCACACCGAACCTTCACCCAGCCAGACTGTGCACATTCTTCTCCAGGGTTTAGCTAGGTGACTCTGCGCCTCTGCTCTCCACATATCCTCGCTAACTCTCCAGGTCTAGCCTGGGTCCCATATCCAGTGTCCTATCCTAGTCTGGCCACTCTTGGCTATACCACAACTAACCTCTAGGCTTCTTCTAGGACCTTCCCACTGTGTTCTCTATCCCACAGGTTTCCCCATGCCACATTCAACTTTTCCACCCAGCCAGGTCTACACTCACATTCCAGAAATGGACCAGAATGCATATCAGTCCAGTACCCTTTGTTCACATGACATAATTCCACCTAAGCTAGTTCCTAATTCTAGGACCAACCCACTTACTCATTCTTCTTTCTACCCAAACCTGCTTTCTCTTCATCAGACATGGATCTAACAAAAGGAAGCTATAGGCCCAGATCTCATTGTAGAAAACTTCCTGAATAGGACTTCATTTGCCCAGGAATTAAGACCATCAGCTTTCAAGTGGGGCTTCATAAAACTAAAAAGCTTCTGCATAGCTAAAGAAGCAAACATATGAAGAGAAGTTCACAGAATGGGAAGGAATCTTCCACAGGTACATATCTGACAGAGGATTAATATCCAGAATATATAAATAACTAAAAATACTCAAATATTCAAAAATAAATAAGTAAATAAAACCACCATTGCCACCCACAAAAATCTAACCCATTCAAAAAGTTGGACTGGGCTATAAACAGAGAGTTCTCAAGAAGAAGAGGAAGAGGAGGAGGAAGAAGAAGAAAAACAGCTTAAAAAATTTATCATCTCTAGTAATAAGGGAAATGCAAATTTAAACAGCTTTGAGATTTCATCTACTCATGTCAAAATGGCCAAGATCAACAACCAACAACAAATGGTGTATAGGGTGTGGGAAAAGTGGAACCTTCATTCATTGTTGGCAGGCTTATAAACTGATTTAGCCAATCTAGAAATCAGTGTAGAGAATACTTAAAAAATTAATCCCAAATCTATATCTCTTGTCATAATCCCAAATGACTCAATATCCTATTCCCCAGACACTTGCTCATCCATGGTCTTTGCTGCTCTGTTTACAATAGCTATGAAATGGAAACAACCTAAATGTCTTTCAACTGAGTAATGAATGATGAAAAATATGGTACATATACACCATGGAATACTATTCAGCTGTAAAGAAATATGAAATTGTCTCTGAAAGTAAATGTTTGGATCTAAAAAAAAATTATATTGAATAAGGTAACCTAATCCCCAAAAGACATGTTCTTTCTCATCTGAGGCTCATAGCTTCAAATTTTCAGATATGAGTATGTATCATAGACTAAGTGCAAGAATCAAGAAAGTAAAAAGGGATCACTGCAGGGATGCAAGGCTAGAGGCACAATAAAGATGGGAATAGAAGAGTTTAAGTGATCTGATGTGGAAATGGGAAAAGGGAAAAACAAGGGGTGCTCTGATTAAAAATGGGAGAGGGAGATAAATACAGTATGAGAGAAGAGGTTGTGGATATCGCTCTCTATTCTGTGAATGTGTTGCTCTGATTGGTTAATAAATGAAGTGCTGACTGGCCAGTAGCCAGGCAGGAAATATAGGTGGGATAAGCAGAGAAGAGAATTCTGGGAAGAGAAAGGCTGAGTCAGGAGTTGCCAGCCAGACACAGAGGAAGCAAGATGTGAAGGCAGACTGAAAAAAGGTACCAAGCCACGTGGCTAAACATAAAATAGAATTATGGGTTAATTTAAGTGTAAGAGCTAGTCAGTAATAAGTCTGAGCTAATGTCCTTGGTGCCGGGCGAGCACAGGAAAACCTTCAGCTACGGAAGAGGGTAAAATAACTGTCAGAATTTCTGAAAGAGTGATAAGGAATGATAATATTAACCATTAACCTTTAAAAAACCTATAATACATATAAATCCGTGTATTACATGTATACTTTAAATGAAAATTTCCATGCTCCATCCAAGAGCCAAAGACTATCTTATAACAACCCCAACAGCAGGCATGAGAAACCATCTTTTAAACATTGGTTAGGGCTGTTCAAGAAACTCACAAAATATTACAGACTATTGTTCTTGCCTTTGTTTACCTCACAGAGGAGGAAGGCAAATCTCTATGACTGAAGACACCATGCACTTCAGAAACAGGGACCAGAGGTCCCTGAGCTGGAACTGACTTGAAAGCTTCAGCCTTGAGGACCAGCTTTAAAAGCACTATAAGGCATCATGTAACCTTCCGAAGAAGGAATGCAATCAACAAGCCTACCCAGCTATGATGTCTATTAACCACAACAATGACCAACACAGTGAAATAACCCTAAGGGTGCAGTAGTGAGTTGTACACATACCTTGGTGATAATCAACAGCTCTCCAATCAACTTTAGACCCGCTCAATTAGAGAAAACTAATGTTTGGTACTAGAAACTTACCAACTACCTAGGGCTAGTGAAGGCATGGATCTTGGAGGAGAACCTACTAATTTACTATGCCAGCATAATCCCTTACAACATTCTAAACATTTGCCCTTATGTCCACAGTAAGTGTCGTCCTCATTTCTCATCACGGAAACTTCTCTTTGCAACAGAAAAAGACCACTCAGAAAACCAAAATGAATCAAAATGCAGAGTTGCACGGCCTGTTCCTAATAGGTATATCTACAAAACAATCTCTCTCTCTCTCTCTCTCTCTCTCTCTCTCTCTCTATATATATATATATATATATATATATATATATATATATATATATATATATATATATAATACTGAAGAAAAGTTCATGAATTTGAAAATAGTCAAGGTAGGGTATATGGGAAGATTTGGATGGAGGAAAGGAAAAGTGGAAATGATATAATTATATTATAATCTCAAAAACCAAAAGAACTGATTACAAAATGAGAAACCATACCAACTCAAAGGAATTTTTTTAAACCAGCATTATAGCAAAAGGATACAAGCATCCAGACTCCAAGTCCAGTGAGTACATTCAGTCTTTCTGACACACTAGGGCTATGCTCATCCCCAAAATGAACAGCAGCCACCTCTTTCTTTTTTTCTTTTTTTGATTTTTTTTGAGACAGGGTTTCTCTGTGTAATAGTCCTGGCTGTCCTGTAACTCACTTTGTAGACCAGGCTGGCCTTGAATTCACAGAGATCCGCTTGCTTCAGCCTCCCAATCAGTAGCCACCACTTATATTCCCTAACTTTCTTTGACTTAATTCACAGTAGTATCATGAAATTCCATGTGTAGATGAACTTATGACTACCCCATCTTATACAAGGAAACACCAAAACTTAAAGAACTCAATTCATGTTTGACAAAATAACTAGGAAAAGGGAGAAAAGATTTATTGAACAGATTTGTGAACTTAGTGGTCTCTTTATCTTCTTATATATCTAGAAAAATCTGAGGAATTTATAGAAATACATGCACACATGAAATATGATTAAAGAAAAAAAAGAAATATGATTAAATGTGACCTACTTGCTTGAAATCCATTTCCTTGATATGGCTTCACCCCCTGATATGTCTATTAGGCCTCATATTTGATAGGTGGAATCATAACATAGGATACCCATATAAATATAGAAAGTCTCATAAAATGATGGTCTAACTCCTTGAAGAAAAAAGAGACTCTATATTCTACTCTTTGGGGTTTGGAAGTCTTCAAATGTGAGCAAAGCATGGCAAACATTGGAGCTCCTTTCTGCCAGGACCAACCAATGACTTTGAAGGGAAAGTGAATAGATGAATCTGTGGCAAACTACATAGTTATATCTAGATTCCCCCATAGACAAAGCCAGGATGGTAACAGGTAGCAGAGAAGAGAGGAACAGAGTAAAGTTCCATAGCCCATTGCAGTGGTGGGGATGAGTGTGCAGGGGCTGGACTCACCTTGAACAATACAAGCACCCAGATAGGCAGCATCAGAAAAGGAGCACAACAGTCGGCCATGAAAAATGTCTCTTTTAATCTGCAAGTATAAAAGATATCTGCAACAAAAAAGGAGAAATAATCATCTTAAGTTTTAGCTGAAGCATGGAAGTAGGAATTTTTATGCTCTGTTTACCTGAACCACACCTAGCTCTAGGCAGTAGCTTAGACATGTCAAGCTTGCTTTAGATGAGCACATGCAAAAAGAAGTGGAGATTTCAGAATTTAGAAACCCAAAGTTTATGTGAACTTCCAAAGGTGAAGGGGCTCAGCCTTTCTAAGAAACTCAAGAATAATCAAGAAACACATGGTCTAGTAGTCACCACTGCCACACAAGGAAAACCACAACTTATCCATATCCCAAGTATCTTGTGAATTTTTTAAAAAAAACTTTATATGTGCTTTTAATCAGGGGCTGAGTTCAATTAGTATACATGCATTGTTCCTCAAGAAGGGACAGCATCAGCCGGGCGGTGGTGGCGCACGCCTTTAATCCCAGCACTCGGGAGGCAGAGGCAGGCGGATCTCTGTGAGTTCGAGGCCAGCCTGGACTACCAAGTGAGTTCCAGGAAAGGCGCAAAGCTACACAGCGAAACCCTGCCTCGAAAAAAACCAAAAAAAAAAAAAAAAAAAGAAGGGACAGCATCATAGTAACTACTCAATAAAAACCCAACAACAACAAATCTGCTTATGAGGAAAAATCTAGTTGACTGACACTTGGATTGGGCTCTTGAGTCATTGTATCTGGTCTCTGCTTCTCTGCAGACAAACTCAGACACCTGTAGAAGCACAAATGTGGCTGGTAAGGTGGGCCAGAGAAGCAGAATGAAAAGTGGGCTATATTATGGCAGGATCAACTACTATGAAACTCTGCCTGGGTTGTCTTGTAGGAAAGCTGAAAAGATGTATCCACTTTATACGAAAATTCAGGAGATTTTAATTACAAGGGAAGCCTTTGCATTGATAAGTGTTATCACAATAATTTTAACAGAACATTATGGGCTGAGAGATGGCTCTGAGGTTAAAAATACTGGCTGTTCTTCCAGAGGTCCTGAGTTCAATTCCCAGCAACCATATGATAGCTCACAGCCATCTATAATGAGATCTGGTGCCCTCTCCTGGCCTGCAGGCATACATGGAGGCAGAATATTGTATGCATAATAAATAAATAAACCTCTTTTTTTTAAAAAAAAAAGAACATTATAGTTAAAAAAAAAATCCAGAGGGAACTGTTTGTAGACATTGGCTTCCATTCCCTTGTTACTGTCTTTTGGGTTCATCCATGCTGACCAAATTCTTTTCTTTTCAGGTTCCATGTATTTTTTTGTTGTTGTTGGTTTTTTTTTTTGTTTTTCTTTTTTTCACCAAATTGACTCTTCCTTTCCAGGCTCATGCCTGTTTTGTTTTTTAAATCAAAGTAACATATTCCATTCATGCCAATTTTAACATTTACCCACAGGATACCCCCCACCTTTGTATAGTCTTAGGGGAACTCTTAAAAACACTTTTCAATCGTCAATTACAACTTTGAGATGGTTAATTTTAGACATTTGCTTAACTGGGCCATGGGATACCCAGATATGAAGTGGACCATGATTTCTGGGTTCCTTTTAGCATGTTTATGTGCATGATTTGTAGCTCAGTTAGTGAAACAGCAAAGCAGATGATTACCCTATTCTGTGTTGTAGAGAGAGGGTGAATTTACTCTATCTGACAATGTGAACTAGAGTATTCTGACTTTTGTACTCCTTATCCTTAGGCCTTTAGACCTGGATGGAATCCACTGGCCCTCTGCAGCCTCTCACCTGAAGACTGCAGGGCTTTTCAATCTCCATAAAGATGCAAGCTAATTCATTATAATAAACTTTATATGAACACACATACACAGCCACCCATGTACACACACACACACACACACACACACACACACACACACACACACACACCCTGCCGTATGTTTCTTTGGAAAAACCCTGACTAAATACCTCTACTGCTTACTAATTTGCTCTTTACTCAGTCTTATAATGAGCCAAAGCATAATTCCATTTTAAAGATAAGTCAAAGAAATGGAAAATCAGAGAGGGAGATTTGTGTTCTAATAGCATAAAGATTTTTCTTTGTCCAGGGCATGGGAGCTGCCAGTTCTGGGGGCTACTTCACTGAAATCACATTGGACACAATGAAGGATTCATTGACTTACTGATGTTTTCATCACCTGAATCTGTATCTCACATACTTTACACTATGCATTGTTCTAGCCATCAAGGTATTAGTGACACATGACAGGTTCAAAAGACAACCTATTTCCATTTTATCCATAATTGCATTAAAGAGATAAAGTAGCTAATAACTTTATTACTCAGTGAACTGACAATCTAGACTACCTTCCTGCACTGAAACCTGCCAACCTTAGTGAGCACATTTATTACCCAAAGATATTGTTAAAATGTTACTCTGATTCAGTAGGTAGGCAGGATATTCATGTATTCAATGGCTACCTGGTGATTCAGTGTCATGAACCACACTTTGAATAATAGATGAACATGAGAATCACTAGAGGAGGTGGGGCTCTTATCCTTAACCACCAGACAAATGAAAATTCAAGGTACTTGGAGATTTCATTTTACCCCAGTCAGAATGGATAAGATACAAAAAAAATTATGACAGATGCTGGCTTTGATATGGGAAATGGAAAGCACTTATTCACAGCTGATGGGAGTGCAAGCTGACACAGCCACTATGGAAATCAGTGTGGAGGTTCCTCAAAGAACAGTAAACAGATCTAATATATGGCACTATATCACTCTTTGGCATATACCCAAAAGACTATATATCCTGCTACAGAGATACTTCCTCAAATATGTCTGTTGCTACACTATTCACAATAGCCAGGAATGGAAACAGCCCAGATATCTATGAACAGATGAACAATGAAAATATGATATATTTATATGATGGAATATTAATCAGTTATTATGAAATTCACAAGTAAATGGATGGAGCTTAACCAGAAAGAACAAACATCACACTTTCCCTAATATTTGTACACATTAGCCTAGAATCTTTAGATATATGTTTTCTTTACTCAGTGGGAGTAACCCATAGAAGTTAGGAAATTAAAGTATTCATAGACAGGGGCTTTCTAGAGAGTAGTTGATAAAAAAAACCACACTGGTTTAAAGGGTTAAAGGGGAATTATGGGGCAAGAAGGGACAAGGAAGTATGGGGAAGGGAGAGACATAATATAAGAGAAAAATCAGGATGGAGAAATAACATTAAAAACATTTCCAAAATGTCATATTGAAAACTACTGTTGTAGAATCATCATATAATACATCTATACACATATATAAAAGGAGTTGAAAGGCAGTTATCCTACATCAGTCTAAGAAATACAAAGTTCTGTCCTAGGAGTAGGTTATACATTTTGGAGTTATTGGCAAGTGAGGTCACAAAGACCACCAAACACTGCATGCTACTGTCAATGCTCTTGATTATCCCCCCAGAACTTGATGCTAAGAGCTACCTGCTGATGACACCACATATTTGTATCTTAGAAATCAATCTGGTGAGGACCTGGAAACTTTTCTACTGGCTGTCTTTCAAAATGCTGGGAGGAGCTGTGTAATCTACAAGAGGTCAGAATAAACATTAATGATAGCCAGCAGTGCACCATACAAGACACAATGCCTAGCCTAGCAAGACATGCCTACTGGAGCAATAGTGGCTTGAACAACATTCAAGTCACTAACCATTTTCTGATTGGATTTAAGGCCTACTCCACAAGATGAAACCCATACTTGGCACCATTATGGAACTGAGAAACTCTGACTAGGCAGGTTATAGGCCCTAGGAGAGAACCTACTACTCTTACCTGCTAAACATATATTATACTAAACCAAATCCTGATAATTTATCATTATACCCATAGATTAACATACCTCTCAACCTTCATCAGAGAAGATATTTCTGTTTGCACTAGATGATCAGAACAATGACCCACAACTGGCAAGGTGCAAGTAATAAGAGATTGCAGAATAGTCAACACTAAATGGAACATGTATATCACCTCTCCCTCTTCCAAAGATGACAGAAAGAGTGTAAGAGCCCCAGATATTGTGGATGACTACGAAGAAACATTGTCTTTTGGACACAGAAGGGAAACTGTACTTGTGAACTCAAAGCTGTTGTGACAGGGTGCATAGACTTGTTAAGAGCAAATTCCAGCATGGAAAGGGAAATTGGGTATGAAGACCAACCACCGGGCAAAGAGCTACTGACAATTGTTGGCTGCTGGGAGAGAGTTATTTATTTATTTTCCTAAGAAGGTAGTCCCTGATAATTTACTGTGCTCTAGTGGAAGGCTACACATCCAAGAATATTTGGACAATACAAGTTGGTCTCGATTTTGGGAAAAAAACCCACAAAATTGGGTGGAAAGGGAAGTGGAGTAGATACGGGCATAGTTGGAGAAGGGAGGTTGAAAATGATCAAAACTTATTTACAAATTTGTCAAAGAACTAATTAAAAAATAAAATTAATGAAAAAATACCAATTCTATATATTTTAAATGGTACCCGAGACTCAACTAAATCAGCATCTTGGCTCTGATCAAAATTTGTACATTTATGTTCATTATTAATTATAACTAAAAAGTATTAACAGTTCAAATGTTCACTAACTAATAAATGGATAAAAATGTGATATATATACAATAAAGTATTTAAACATAAAAATAAAATACTGATAGATATTAGATATTAACTATAATTTTATATGAATTTGATTATTGAATGAGACTTTTGTTAACAAGTGACTCATTCTTTATATTAGATTGTGATGTATGTTCAAAGATTCTTCACCAATTGTTTGTCCAGTACCAAATGGTCAGCCTTGAAAACAAATATACAATTAATATTATATGGATTGGACAGGATATATTTAGGAGTATATATGTACATACCTATATGTATATGCATGCAATAACCATTACTAAAATAAGAGGCCATAATCTGAAGGACAGCTATATGAAGGGGTTAGAGAGAGGAAGGAGAAGGGAGAAATGTAATTATGTACAATCTCAAAAGTAAAATAAAATAAAAGAAGAAAAGAGATTTAAAGAGAAATAAATGACAGAAATGAATCATGATTTTTATGTTTCTAATTAAAATAGAATTATATCACTTTCCCCTTTCCATTTCCATCCTCCTGCCCTTACCAGATACTACCCCTCTAACCTCTCTCTCACTATGATAGTCTTTTTTCTTTGATTATTATTGTTACATACATAGACATATTTGTATATAATATATATAATATACTATAAACATATACATACATGTGGATAATATGTACATAATACAATATATACAATCTCTATATAGGCATATGTACATATGTGTATATATGTATATAGTATACATATATGTATATAATAATATATGTATTATGTTATTACACACATATAAAAACATATGTATTTATATATTTTCCTAATTATGCTGTTAGTACATTCCAGGACTCTTTCAATTAAAATAGTCGTCTTGGAGTTTTGGTGTGGCCTTAGGTGTGTCATTTGTTATTTTGCGCATATTCTCTCTAGTTTTTTATTGTTGTTATTTGAGGTTTGGCATGGTGTCAAAGATGTTACTTTGATTTTGTGCTGTGTTGTATGTTATTTATTTATTTTTTCCAACTCACTGTACTCTTCCACCAGGGTAGATACTTAGAACTGAAAAATTAATCAAATAAATTACAAAAAATTTAAAAAGTCAGGCTAGATCAAGTCAAATCTACATATTCCATGATTTCACTGACATGAGGTATCTGGAATAGATGAATCTAAAGACATAGAAAATAGTTCAGTTATTATCTGGGGCTAGAATGGAGATACAAATCATAACTGCTGTTAAATAATGTGTGCTTTTGTTTTTGCTTTTCTAATGGGGTAGTGAAAATAATCTGGAATTCAATAGTGGTAATAGTTTTTTAATATTATAAATGTGCTTTTGAAATTAATGTGTTTATCAAGTTAGTCCATTGAAAATAAAAAATAAGCTGGGCGGTGGTGGCACACGCCTTTAATCCCAGCACTCGGGAGGCAGAGGCAGACGGATCTCTGTGAGTTCGAGGCCAGCCTGGGCTACCAAGTGAGTCCCAGGAAAGGGGCAAAGCTACACAGAGAAAACCTGTCTCGAAAAACCAAAAAAAAAAAAAGAAAATAAAAAATAAAAAGGATTGCAAAATAACATTACCTAAAATATGTTACATATTTTTTTCTCCTTCACATTTCACACACACACACATAGACACACATACACACTCATATATATTCATACACATGTATAAACACATACGCACACATTCATATTTACAACACAAACACACAGAGGTACTCACACCCTCATACACACACATATATACATATACATATGTGCACATATGTACACACAAATATGTACACATATACACCATATACAGTTGTATGCACACACACACACTCACACCACATATATACTCTCATTCTCTGCTCCTGAACTCCCAGCACAAATCTCATGAAAGAGCTGTGGGCAAATTAATCAAATAAAACAACTATCTGCTCCCCTCACTCCTTATGGCCAAGTATCACCATAGGCTACAGATAACAGAAAAGCAAAATCTGCCAAGATCTTCAACTTCCACCTGCCAATAATCAGAACAACATGTATCTGCCTTTCTGTTGGATCTGGACCTATGCAGATTATTGTTAGCTATAATTACATATGGCAATTTTGATGTCACAGGAGTAGAACCTCATCAAGAACTAAGTGCATAACAGCTCTTTGACATATCCATCCAGAAGGTGGCCATCTTGGGAGTCTTGCTCAGGAACTTTGACCAAATTTTTCAAGGAAATAAAGTTCCCAAGATTAACTGCATGTAAACCCAGCAAAGAGAGATGAAAGAGAAGTCCGAGATGTGGACAGTTCAGAATTGGGCTGAGAAGAGTGTACAAATAAAGGAAAGTCTACCTGGCAGCTGTTGTTTAGCAAGTGGAAACAGAACAGTTAACTGTCCACTCTGTCCAGAAGTCTCTCCTTCCAGAAAGGTTTAGACCCAAAAGACAGTCTAGGGCTGCCCTCTGCATTTGCCCCTGTCTTCTGCTTACTGTTGGAACCCCACTGTCAAATGTTCTCTGAGAGCCTCTCTCTCATAACCATTGCTTTCTTGTACTGTCCCCTTTCTCAATGACAATGATTCTCTATAAAATATCCCAAAACCATCAAGAGTAAGAGGAGCACAATGCTGACTCCAGAGTCTGCTTCCTGGAGGTGTTCTGATCGAGATAACAGGAATGTCTAGCCTTTAAGATAGCAGAGGCTCTGACTGGATACAAGTGGTAGAGTAAATATGCAGAAAAAGAAAAATACCTTGTGAGCTCTTCTTTAATCTTCAAGGGTTCATGTGGGTAGAATTTCACTCTAAAGCACATGGTGTATGGTGGATGAGCTGAAACGTCATAAAGAAAAGGCATGAGATAAGCAGCAACAGATCACAGACTCAAACACACACAGGAATGTCAGCCATGAAGCCTCATCAACTAGCAGGGAAGGGAGGGGTGTGGTAAGGAAGATGCTAATAGAATGTCACATGACAGTGACACAAACAAAGAACGAGCTTAACAGGATATCCAGAGCAAATGCAGAACACAAGCAACCAAGGAGAAAGCCCGTTTTTCCACATCACAACTCACCTTCATCCCTCTCCAGATCACAGCTCCAAAAGAACATTTCCCCCCTCTGATATTTCACACCCTCATTCAAAAGGCAAACTGCCAAAAAGCACCATTCAAGTTTTGGATTCGTGAAAGAATTTTTAGTGTATAAGGTGGAAAATTGCCATTATACAGGTGTTCTTAAACCAAAAAGGTGGTGTATTTGAAGGATAACTGAGATTTTAGAGAAGTTAGCCATGTATACACTTGTAGGCTGTTATTACATATAATAATATGAGCTATATATGAGGTTAAGTGGAATTTTATTCTCTAATTCTTCCTTCAAAATAAGCAGGGTTAAATCATCACCAGACAGGGGACAGTATTTGAACTATTTTGGATGTAACCAAATTTGTTTCATCAAAAGAACTACCAGTTCTAAGTCTGACTGTATAATGAAGAGAATTCAAATGGAAAATAATTGTCACAGTGACTTTACAGTTGAGCTGGTGAGATAGCTTGGCATGTGAAGAAGCTGGTCCCTGAGCCTGATGACGTGAGTTCAGTCCCTGAGACCTGCATGGTGGAGAACCAACTCCTGAAGTTGTCCTCTGACCTTCACATGTCCTACCCCCAATTAAAAAAAAAAAACATAGTTAAAAACAATCTAATAGAAAATACACCCATCATAAGAACAGCACTTTTATGCTAGTGAAGAAAATCTGAACACACACACATACAAATGAGTACACACTCATAATCACACGAGTCAGTATGCTATTTTCACCAGCAATTTCCCCAAGTTATTGCTACCAACAAGGGCCTGTGTTCCTAGATTTAAGAAAGGAAGTTCTTGATGTGTTGATGCACGTCTGCGTTCCAGTACTCAGGAAGCAGAGGCAGAAAAATCACCACGAGTTTGAAGCCAAACTAGTCTACACAAGTGTTCTATGTGAATGAAAGATAAATAGTGAGACCCTATCTTCCCTTCCCCCCAAAAAAAGTAATAAATTCTAATTAAAGAAAGGAGGGACTGAGTATATGACTCAGTGTGAAGAGCATTTACTATGTAAGCAAGAGGACCCAAGATCAAGTTCCTAACACGCACATGAAAGTCAGCATGGCTGTGCAAACCTGCAACCCTGGTGGTTGTTGAATTTGCTGGCTAGTCAGCTTAGCCAAATGGTATGCTTCAGGTTCAGCAAGCAAGCCTGACCCCCAACCCCCCCCCCCCAAAAAGGTAGAAAATATTGAAAGGAGACAGTGTCCTCCTCTGGCTTCCAAATGCATGTGCATAGTGCATGCATACACATATCCAAGTGCATATACTGAACACACCATACACACAAGTAAATACAATGAAAGGTAGTATATTTTCTTAAGTACTAGGAAAAATGGACATTTTTCATATGGCAATAATGCAACTTAGAAAAATACAGTGAGTCTCAAGCCATTCAGCCTTCATATCTAGAATGTAAGATATTTTATCACTGAATATTACTTAGAATTTATCTGATTTTTTGAAAACTTATGAAACTAATGGATTTTGATTTTCATTATAAAACATTTGTACTTTTTTATTTTTCTTTTATTTTTCAGATTATAATTCCATCATTTCTCCCTTCCCTTTCTTCCAGCCAAACATGCTTTTACCAGAAAACTATTTTTACAAGAGAAGAACAATTGAACAAAAGATTGAAGAGGATAATTTTCTCTATTTTGTGTATTTTTTCATTAAAATTTTCTAATTTAGTGTAGTCTCAACATAAGTGATCAATATAAAGACAGATAGATAAATACATAGATGCCCAATAAATAAAACGATAGATAGGCCATTTTCCTTCAGTTTATCTCTGCTCCTGACCTTTCATTGCTCAAGATCTTATCAAATGCAAATCTCTCCTCTCACTATTAACAAATTTCTTTACATCCTTCTATAACTTCTGTGACGTCATGTATATATATTCCCATATGCTTACATACATGGAGGCATCTTTAATTATTCTCTCAAAATTAAATCAAACCATGACTGTTTCTTTTATTTCTTTCATGTAAAGCTGTACCTGCCCTTTCCTTCAGTAGGGTAGATATAATATTTATACAACTCACTTTCCATAAACTATAATAGCTAATATTATATGCAAATCCAAATTTATTCACATATTTGCCTTTAATTATTCAGGTTATTTTCAAAATTTTACAATCAAAATATGGTGTGGTATGCATTATTTTAAAGAAGTCATGATACAGTCCAAAGCTAGAATGGCTGGGCCAATATGTACTGGAAAATGTTTTCAAAGATATAGAAAGCTGAATTTCCTCACTGGAGGCAAAGTACAAAAAAGGTGATAACAAAAGGTGTCCTCTATGTAGGGCTATAATCTTCTATGACTTGGACTTATTATTCCCTACAGTTGGTTAGCACACAGTTAAGTTCATCACACACAAGTCAAGACTAGAGATCTTACAAAGACAAAGCTTCACAGTCACCATCTTTGAGTATGTCTGGGTGGAGGAACACCTCCACCCAGTCATACACCCAGTCACCCTTACTCTAACCCAAAGGCTGTGTCTGTCATGTGAGAATTTCACCTTATTAGAAAACAGTGCTCACAGTACTACAGTCTATTCTCTTTTTAAATTTTTAAAATATTTATTTAATTTGTGCATATGACTATTTGGCCTTTATGTGCATCTCTTCTGTGCTGATGATTGCAGAGGCCAGAAGAGGACATAGGATCCTTGGACCTGGAGTTACAGACTGTTGTTGCTAGCATGTGGATGCTGGGAAACTAACCCAGGTCCTCTACAAGCAACAGATGATCTTAACCACTGAGGTATCAGTCAAAACTCTAGTCTTCTCTGAAACAAATACCCACAATTCTTCTCTCTCCTCCTAACATACGTTGTAACTGTCACAGATAAAGTCTTTCCATGGTGGCTCTGTGCTTCCTTAAACCTGGGGTCCTGATGCCTCCTTAGTACTAAACGTATGTAAATCTTAATTATTTTCATATGTGTTGCGGCTTGTCACAAACAAAAAAGACTCCACGTCGCCCTACTTTTTTGTGGATGTGATCACAGAAAAAATTATTATGTTGTACTGATGATACATTATTATTAGACCCATTATCAGAGAAGGAATGGCAGATGGCAATAGGAAAAAAAGGAGAGCTACTTTTCAAGGCCATTTTTTTTGTTTTCTTCTATTATCGTATCTTACTAATATTGGACCAACATCGTTGATCCCATGCAGACAATAAAATAGTTTTTGCAACTCTCCTTACTAGAGAAATAAACAGGGTGAAAAATATAGCCATTTATAATGTTTTTTTCATTCAACAAGGAGATAAAGGGGAGTCATTTATGCTTCCTCGTGGGCACTGCCTTAGGGTGAGAAGGTAGTGCTGAGCCCTGACATCTACCCATACTACCCACATTACTGCTGAAAAGGAGCCCTTCTAAGTGCTAAATAACATCTGGTACTTACTATTTGGAACATGTCCAAGGACTTCAATTTCCCTCTAGATAAATGCTTCTCCTTTTAAAGAGATAATAAGTGTCTCTGCCCAATCCTGCACCCGTATCTTTTTGTTCTTTCACTTCAAGGAAATGACATGAGTTAAAGGATAATTCTTATTTATGCCAAAGCAGGCAGAATCAGAACAGAGAACCAGGGTCCAATCCTAACAGTACCATCATGACAAGCCAGTGGGAATTGTTTTTATGCCAGTTAACATTGCCACTCCACAGTTGTATATCTCTGCTTTGGTACTCAGCTTCAGCAACCATGACAGGGCACACAGGATGGTTGTGTTGCTAGCATATCCCTTTCAAAAGAAGGCCTCAAGCTTTAAAGGGAACTTCTAGGAGTGTTCTTGAGCAAGCCACCTAACTTTTCTTCTTCCTGTTTTGAAAGAGGCATTTGGATGGATCTACTGGGCTTTTGGCATTTACATGAGGCATTAGATAAATACAAGATTTGTTATTAGGGAACATACACTTAGCAGGAGGGACAGAAACAGGAGTTAGAAATGTGAGGGAAGAGAAGGGGATGAGTAAATTGAGCTCAGTTCAAAAGCTGAAAAACATGTACTAGGCCATGTAAATAGTGTGTGTTTTGGGGGATAGGGGTGGTCATTACCATTGAGAAATAGCAGCAAAGGGAAGATTATGCAAAACCCATTTTAAAGACCAGGATCATGCAACTGCCATGGAAAACACAGGAGTATCTACTGGCTGACAGACCAGTCCCTGTCACACAGTCCAAGTGTCTCCCTCAGGGAATATCAGTGACCCCCTTTGCACCAGTAGATCCCCAAATCCCCTTCTTTTGGTAGTTATTCTTTTCAGAAATGAATGGGATTTTTAATGCATTTATTTGTTTCTTTAAAAATTCGTACAATGCATTTTGATCACGTTCTTAAAGCCATCCCACTGAATTTAGGAATGAGACAGGGCTCCCCACTCTCCGCATTCCTTTTCAATATTGGACTTAATGTACAATGTGAAACACTAAGGCAAGACAGGGAATTTAAAGGGAAACGGATAGGGAAAGAGTAAGTCAAGCTGTTCCTGTTTGCAGATGACAGGAAATTTTACACAGGAGATCTTAAAAATTCTATGAGTAAACATGTAGAAAGTGATTAACAAATTCATCAATGTGTCAAGACTGAACTCACACAAATCAGGGGTTTTTCTACACAACAACAGACATGCAGAGAAAGAGACTTCCACTCAGAATACCACCAAAAATCGTCTAGAAATAAACCTAATCCAAGAGCGGAACACTCTA